TTCATTTTGGGCAAAGTATGAAACTGGAATGGGTCGTATGGAACGGGCCGTTCTGCAAGGAGAACAGGGCATTCTCCTAGCAGAACGGGGCGTTCTCCTAGGAGAACGGGGCGTTCTCCTAGGAGAACGGGGCGTTCTCCTAGGAGAACGGGCCGTTCTTCAGGAAGCACGGCCCGTACTCATTTTTTTAAAAAGCTAGAATGGCCCGTTCCAGTTTAATTTTTTTTTCGCAGCCCGAACTTTTAAGATAGGTTATAAAACAACCGATCTTAAAAGTTAACTTTTAAAATTGGTTATTCAACCGATTTTAAAAGTCTAGCTTTCAAAATCGGCTCTTTTAAAATTGATTACGGAACCGATTTTAAAAGTTAAAAATAACCGATTTTAAAAGCCTTTTTTCCACTAGTGATTTCACTAACAACTTATGTGTTATGCAGGATTGCACTTCAAAGATGTTGATTGGAGTGGGTGAACAATGAGATGGGATTTACTTCTTTAAAGGAATCCGAAGTGAGAAAGCACACAAAGCTAATGAAACTTGTGAACTTAATCTGTGGCATCAACGCATGGGGCACCCTTCTTTCAAGGTCACTAAATTAGCTTCTAACATGAGGTGTGATAGTGGTATTTTGCATAACAAACCATGTGATGTATGTTTACGGGCTAAGCAAGCTAGAGATATCTTTCCATTAAGTAAAAATAATGCTGGTGGTAGTTTTGAATTAATACACTGTGATTTGTGGGGCCCTATAGAACTCCCTCTTCTTGTGGTGCTTCATATTTTTTTGACAATAATGGATGATTTTTCTCTTGCTATTTGGATTTATTTGATTTCTGATAAAAAATAAGTGTCACGTACATTGCTGAATTTCTTTGCATTAATAGAAAGACAATTTGGTAAACAAATTAAAATGCCACGTAGTGATAATGGTACTGAATTTACGTGTTTGAGAAACTACTTTCATGAACACGAGATAGTATTTCAAACATCTTGTCCAGGAAAACCACAACAAAACGGAAGAGTAGAAAGAAAGCATAGACACATTCTTAAGGTTGCTCATGCTCTAGGATTTCAAGGTAATCTCCCTATTTCTTTTTGGGGTGAGTGTGTCTTAACAGCTGGATACTTGATTAATCATACCCCCACTCCAGTGTTGTTTGGAAAGACACCATATGAGATGTTACACGGTCAAGCCCCCATGTATGATCATTTAAAAGTTTTTGGTTGTTTATGCTACGCACACAACTTGGATAGACATGGTGATAAGTTTGCTAGTCGAAGTCGATAGTGTATCTTTGTGGGTTACCCTTATGGGAAGAAGGGTTGGAAATTATTTGATTTAGATACTCAATGCTATTTTGTGTCTCGTGATGTTGAATTCTTTGAAACAGAGTTTCCTTTCACACATACAACTGGGGTCAAATATGATTTACCGAAAGGTGGTGGCAGCTGTACGCAGCTGTACCTAACATTGATGTGACGGTGAATGATGGTGCGTGAATGATGGTGCGCTTTGCTCCTGCGTGAAGGTAGTGTAGTCCACGTGCTGCTCCTATGCAAATCTCTAGCCTTTTCTTCCATGACAGTTTCCCACCTTGCAGGTGTCCATGTAGAGATCCATTGGGCATGTATGTACTCGAACACGATAATCTTCTCTTTTTTGTGGATGCAGAATCCTATAAGAGAGATTATATGAGGGTGATGAAGTTGGCAGTGCAACTCTACCTCAGTCGTGAACTCTCCCCATCCATCAGGGCGTTCCACTTTAAATCGCTTCACTGCAACTGCATAATTAGTACCATCATTGCGTTTAAGATAACCTTTATATGCTTTACTAAATGTTCCATCTCCAATTATTCTCTTTTCATCAAAGTTGTTAGTTGCTTTCTTAATATCAGTCCAAGAAAATTGACGACTAAGTGGGATGAAGCGCTAGAGAAAGGTCGTGGAGGGCAAGATTGAAATTTGCGTTCAATATCTTCAAAATTTTCAATGTATTGAAGAGCCCGAAAAGAACATTTTTATTATATATATATATATATATATATATATATATATTAAGGTAATAATAAAATCAGTTAAAAGATATATAAAAAGAATTGATTACTATATGCAAGTAATTAATATGAAGTTTAAATATATTTTTTGGTTTATGTCAAAGAAGCGAATTTTAATTTTAATTCTTTTAATATTTGTTTTTTTTTTTAATTTTTCATCTTAATAAAATATTTTTTGGTTATTATAAAATTAATAAATTTTAATTTTAGTCTTGTAAACATCATTGCGTTTAAGATAACCTTTATATGCTTTACTAAATGTTCCATCTCCAATTATTCTCTTTTCATCAAAGTTGTTAGTTGCTTTCTTAATATCAGTCCAAGAAAATTGACGACACAGCTCTTGTATTACAGTTGGATACCATCTACCAATACCACTTGAATTTCTGTCACCAAAACATTTCAGAAACATAATTTCGGTGACACCACAAACAAACTTGACCTTTACTCGGCAATCCAATCCTGATATGCTCGTCCTGTATTTACGCATATGGTTGCAGCTTCCCTGTCCTTTCATCAAAATCAATATCAAATTATCAATTAGGATAACTTCTCACTACCTTCCTTCACTTTTCAATTAAAAATAAGGCCAAGTCGTTCCACAAAATAATTAACTATAAACCATGACCGAAGACAACTTCAGGGGATTCTTTACTTTTGTTATTCATAAACATTCTCGTTTTCTTTTTTCTTTTACAATTACGGCATAGTATTTTGGACATATTACTCTTAACACCACAGGTAAACTGATTTGAACGGTTCATGAAACTAGATGTCAAGCAAAATCATATTGAAAAATTTAGAGAAAATATTTTTTTGCTTAGTTTAGTTTTTTTCTTTATTATTCACTCAAAATTCATCATATATAACAAAATTATTAATTTTTATAAAATTATTTAATATATATATATATATATATATATATATATATATATATATATATGTGTGATTATGATTATTTATCGTAAAATTATTACATATAAACATTAAGCTGAAGATGTTATATTAAAAAATTATTAGTGTTTTTTATTATATTAAAAAATGCTTAAAATAAACATAAGATTTGAAAAACAAAAATCACACTCCCATAAAAAAATTACTTTATTTTAACTATATTATTAATATAAAATATTATTAGCTTCATCATTTATTTAAGAGACTAATTTATATCATTTAGTTCAATGACATTGATAAAGTTACTTTAACATGTCACAGTAGAAACTTATGGTTCAATTTTATTTTTGATAATTAAAAAAATTAATTTAAAACATTTAAATTTTTTACAATACATTAAAATATCCAAATACCCAATAAATAAGATAAGAAATAAATTAAATTATACTTGTAGTCCTTTGTCTTCTTTTTAAGATTCATTTAGATCCTTTATTCTTTAAAATGTTCACTTTAATTCTTTATTACATAAATTTGGATCAATATAATTCTTTTAAAATAATAATTATTTTTAATTTTGAGATACAATTTTAATTTTTTTTTAATAATTCAAGACTTGAAAATTGTCTAACTAAATTCATTTATATGAAAATTATTGAACATATTAAAATTTAAATAAAAATTTCATAAATATGGTGAAAATCTCATAAACATAAGTTAAAAAAAAAATTTAAGTATAATTTTATATTATTTTCTTGTTACTTAATTATGAGATATACATCTGATTTTTATGTTTATAACTCTTTTAAATTTGAACATCAATTGAATTTCATAATTTTCATATATTTGAATTTATTACTGCAAATTTTACATATTAAATTAGTTAAAAAGTAATATAAAATTATATCATAAAATTGAAAATGAACACTTTTTTTAAGGATTAAATTTTAATTAACAAATAAAAGATCAAAATAAATTTTAAAAATAAGATAGAAAAATAAAGTATAATTTAGTCTTTAAAAACAGTATTATATAACTATCCGAATGATTAATTAACTAGAGATGAAGAAACTTAACAAGTCGAAGAATATTAACTTCATTAATAAAATAAACATTGCAGCGTAAGCAAATAAAATACTCTATTAATATGATGTTTGAAATAGTGGCTAAACAACAAACATTTTATGAACTCATTCGATTTATATGCAAAAATTTGTCAAGTTAAGAATACGAGATTGTATATGACAATAAATTAGAGATACTCGTAACAATTGGGAAGAAAAAAGGGAAAGAAAAACTCTTAACATTACGATATAAGGTTGAGCACGTCTATTCTTGCACTGCACGTGGTTGAATGAAAAATAAAACACTTTTATTTGAATAAAAAAACAAAAAAAAACCTCATTTCTATATATCAAAATCATTTTTATTATATATATATATATATATATATATATATATATTAAGGTAATAATAAAATCAGTTAAAAGATATATAAAAAGAATTGATTACTATATGCAAGTAATTAATATGAAGTTTAAATATATTTTTTGGTTTATGTCAAAGAAGCGAATTTTAATTTTAATTCTTTTAATATTTGTTTTTTTTTTTAATTTTTCATCTTAATAAAATATTTTTTGGTTATTATAAAATTAATAAATTTTAATTTTAGTCTTGTAAATTTTTTATTTTTATCTTTTTAAAATTTAAATTACTATTTTTTATTTTTTAATAATAATTTTAAAGTAGATAACAATATTTATATTAATAATCTATTAAAAAATTTAAAATGTCACGTATTAATATATTATTACCAATAACTATAAGTAATCGTTGAAATGATTATTTAATTTTTTAATTAATAAATAAGTGATAAAAATATTATATAATAATAATAATAATAATTGAATTAAATTTTATAAATATAAAAAAAATACAGAGATAAAAATGAAAAGCGTTTAGGGAGTAAAAATATATTTATACCTTAATTTGAATTTAGTTTTTGATTATTAATGAAGAAAGAGGTTGGCGTTTATGATCTAGAATATTCGTATATTGTGAGGGCGTTGAAGAACCGGGAAAGCGTTTGATACCCGCCACTGACTCTGAGTCTACCGTTATTCATTTGCCATTCTTCTCATTTTCATCCATTCTTCTTTCCTTTCCTTTTCGGGTATGCATCCTACGCTTCTCTCTCTCTCTCTCACACACACACATTCACAATTGCATTCTATTTCCAACCTTTTCCTTCTCATTTTCACCATTCTTCGTTCCTTTTTAGCTTCTGATCCTAATTACCTCATTTCCTTAGAAAACAGTTCCATTCGCAGCTGTTTTCGTTTCTTCTATTTTTATACAAATTAGGATCACATTGAAGGCACAATCAAATTGAGTTTCATTTTATTTGCTTCAATTTAGTTTAACATAGTAACATTATTAGGGTTTCATTACCTTTGTTTTCATTGTCATTGGTTGCAAATTTGCAATCTGCAAGTTGCGCTTTTTGGTATTTGTATGTTTAGGTGAACAAGCAATGGATGTTGATGCGATTTTGGGGAGCATTAGACCTGTGAATGTTCCAAGGAAGAGTGCCGTTTATGTGTGGGGATACAACCAATCGGGGCAGACAGGTAGAAAGGGGAAAGAGGATCAGTTGAGGATTCCCAAACAACTGCCTCCTGAGCTGTTTGGATGTCCAGCTGGCACCAACACCCGCTGGTTGGATGTCGCCTGTGGTCGGGAGCATACTGCGGCGATAGCCTCTGATGGATCACTTTTCACTTGGGGTTTGGACTTTTTGCTCTGTGTTTGCTCATTGTTTATGCATTCATTCAAGTACTGTGTTTTGTAGTTTCTGGATTGTTTATTAATTGTTCCCATGATTGTTATTCTGTGTTTGTGTTATTTGGGCACTCAAAGGGATACCAAATAAATAAATCTGTAGTGAATTATTTGTACCTTCCCTCCCTAGACCCTGCTAGGGCATTACACTAGAGTGAGGGGTGGGGGGGGGGGGGGGGGGGGGGGATAAGGGAGAAGAGGAAAGGACAAGGGGTGTTCCGAATATGTAATTGCGAGTTGGGTTCATGGGACTTCCCTCCCCAAATTTAAACCTTTAATTCATTTATTTTAAGGGGTCTTAAGCATTTCCTTTTTTGTTGTATAGAATAAGAATAGACATGGTTGGCAGCTGACATGAACTTTTAACGAGAGAGTAAAACCAGTTAAGATATTCTGATTAGCAGCTACAGCCTACAACTAGGATTATTTTGTTATTGTCTCTTGAATGCAAACAGTTACCCTTGAGGCCTTTTGTTATGTGAAAAATCAAACCAGGGGGAGTTTTTGTTGACTTAAAAAAAAAAAAATAGAGGGACTGAAAGTGTAGGTTTACTTTTTGGGAGGGACACATTCTCCCTGAATAGATCTAGTTGGAACTGCCTTTCAGTATTCTTGGACAAAAACATCTTATCAGATTTTTCATTACACTTCAAATATAGGATGTGGTTTGTATGCGTGGAAATCATCTTTGTTCTGCAGTTCTTTCCTTGTTATAATTGGAATTGATTTCATTTGATAATTTATTAATAATTAATTACTGGGAAAAATATGCGTGAGAATTAAGTAACTTTAGAGGATATTTCTTATTGTTTGTTTGCAATTATTAATAGCTCACATTACAAGTTATTGGGAAACATAAAAGTGCCAAGTGTCTTAGACTCGTGCACATATCCATATACTAGGGGCTAATGACTTCGGTCAATTGGGTGATGGAACTGAGGAGCGAAGGAAACATCCAAAAAAAGTTAAGCAATTAGAGTCAGAATTTGTAAAATCTGTATCCTGTGGAGCACATTGTTCTGCTTGCATTGCTGAACCTCGTGAAAATGATGGTACAGTCTCCACTAGAAGGCTCTGGGTGTGGGGGCAAAATCAGGTAATAATTTTTATAGGGATAATAGTTCATTCTTAATACAATGTTCTTAATGTGTCAGAAACTCTTTATATTTTTCTTCTTTAACATATTGTTTATATTCCAGGGATCGAATCTTCCAAGGTTGTTCTGGGGGGCCTTCAAACCTAATACAGTAAGTATACATGTTTGAGCACGGACTGATATATTTGCATGTATATATACATTCGTCATGACTAAAAGAAATGACATGTCATTTATTTGATTGTTTTTATTTTTATTTTTATTTTATTATTATCCATATTTATGTGTAAATATTGGGACTTTTAGTCGGGTATGGCCAGATCTTCCTGCCACCTATCTATTCGCATTAAGTAAAATGGTGGATTAGGATTTTTTTTATAATGTTTTGCTCTCTGTTTTTGCTTACTTTCTGCTTTCCCATCATTCATTTGATCACAATGCAGATTATTCATGAAGTGTCTTGTGGAGCTGTCCACGTGGTTGCTTTGTCTGAGGAAGGTCTACTACAAGCTTGGGGTAACTCAGCAATTGCCTTATTTATTTATAGTTTTCTTTCAAAAAAAATATATTTATATATGATTTATAAGACTTTGTCATTGATTGCCTTTTATTGATTGAAATAGTTGGAGGCTTGTAAATTTACTGAGCATTGAATGTAGGAAAGTAAACTTGAGCACTTACAAAGTGGGTTTCTTGCCACATACTAATCAGGGTTTTCTAACTGTTTTCGTAAACCAGGCTACAATGAATATGGTCAACTTGGTCGAGGTGTTACATGTGAAGGACTACAGGGGGCTCGTATTATAAATTCTTATGCAAAATTCCTTGACGAAGCCCCCGAGCTTGTGAAGATTGCCAAAGTGTCATGCGGGGAGTACCACACAGCAGCCATTTCTGATAAGGGCGAGGTGTAAGTGATTTGAAGGACTTTCTAGATGGAGATAGTTATAAATTTAAGCATGAGAATTGTGGTTTTCCGCATGACACATTAGGGAATCTCACGTCAGGAGACAAGATGCAATGGAAATGCTGCATCTATTATGCAAGTTCCTATTCCCTTGGCTTGTTTATACCATAAAAAACTTCAGTTTTAGTTGACTGTAGTTATCCATACCTGGAGCCAACCATCTTATATTTTATTTTAAGTGTCCTACTTAGTTTTATCTAGATTTTGTTTGGAAATTCTGTGGTAATGTTTGTTATTCTATTCATAAATAGGTATAATTTGTTTACAACAAGGTCCCCTCCCTGAAGTAGTTATTTTCCTTTTAATATTCATGAAATAGAGTATGTGCATGTCTTGGAAATGGAGTTAATGTTTTGTTTTCATTTTTGAGCATAGTGACCTCAAGCTCCTTCCTTTCATCTCATTTCCTGCAAGTCTTGACATATATAAAGGAAAAGACAAATTTTAAGATCACAAGTTAATATTTAGTTGAGATCTTTCAATCTCACTTGCTTGGGACCTCCTTTTTTTCTTTTTTGAACTGTGTAATTTACACCTTTTCTTGGGCAGTATCATGTGTTCTTACTCTGAATCATAACCTTGGTGAGGACCATTATTTGGCTTAACACTTTCAAATTATAGCTTTTAAGTTTTAAGCCTTCCGTAATGGGGATGTATTAAAAGCAAGATGTGTACTATTCTAAATCTATATAATTTTTCATTGGTAGTCCAATGTGAAAATTTAGGACTTTTAGGTTCCTTCCCCTGCTCATCTCTTGTACTTGGTGTATGTGTATAGTTGCAGAAGATCTCAATCTTTGTTTAGTTTCTTTTGCTTATTTGATACATGGATATGTGCTTGTATCTTTCCAAGTTGTGCAAGGATTTTGTTCTGGTTATATGTATTTTTGGAGATCCATAAGCAGTATTAAAAATAATTAGTTATTAAAAATTACCTGTATGTGATAGTACTTCATCACTTGTTATATTTGTCCTTGGATCTTGCAGTTACACATGGGGGCTAGGAAATATGGGCCAGCTTGGGCATTCTTCTCTCCAGTATGGGGATAAAGAGTTACTGCCAAGGAGGGTGGTTACCCTCGATGGTGTTTTCATAAAAGATGTGGCATGTGGTGGTGTACACACATGTGCTGTAACTCAGGGAGGAGCACTGTATGCCTGGGGTGGTGGTCAGTCTGGGCAGCTAGGGCTAGGCCCCCAAACTGGATTATTCTCGTGTGTCACTAATGATTCGCAGACATTTTTCCGAAACATTCCAGTTTTAGTTGTTCCTAAAGGCGTGCAACTTGTTGCATGTGGACATTCCCACACTCTTATCTCTATGAGTGATGGTCGAATTCATGGATGGGGTTACAATAATTATGGTCAGGCGGCCAATGAGAAATGTACTTATGCTTGGTATCCATCACCAGTTGACTGGTACGTATTTGTAAGTAACTACTTCATGATCACGTAGGCTTTTATGTTAAAGTTTCTAAATCACAGGTGTGTTGGGGAGGTTCGGAAACTAGCTGCTGGTGGTGGCCACTCAGCTGTGTTGACTGATGCTTGTTCGTTAAAGGAGTTATGTGAGTTCGTACTTGCAGATAGTATGACTTTTTCTAACGCTGCTAAGGTTGAGGATATTGCATATAGAACTGGATCAGATGCTTTAGCACGCCTTTGTGGAAGACTCAGGTATATGTGTGATGTTTTTTATTTTTATATAAACTGCAACTCAATTAGAGTGGGATGTGGCAAAGATTATTTGTCAACAATGGATCATTCATCGTTGAAAGAAAAAAATAATTTTTAGTGTGGGTGGAAGAGCATAAAATTTGATGATAAAACTAGTCATTTTTGTATTGAGTTGGGGCTTGCTATTAATATTTTTTTTTTGTCTTTTTTGAAAGTAAATGCTGGTACAATTGCCTTTCATATTTATGCTTTGTTAGCATGAAATGCTTATTTTGTGCCAACAAACTTCATGGCAGAGAGTATATGCTTGCTGGTGGAGCTCTTGAACAAAAGGAAGAGATAAACAGCAAAGTCTGACTGAGCATATAAAGTTAGTAGTAGTACTTGTGTATATTCATGTATGATACATGTATTATTCATAACTGAAACGTCGTCATTATTTGAACAAAAGCAATCATTCGATTGACATAAAAGCAAGCAATCACTTGCCTCCGTAGACAATGAATTTGTTCCAATCGAATCAGCAGATCCCTAACTCATTTAAGAAATATCCAAAACATTCTCAATGAACTCATGATTTAAGTGAGACTCTTTAGTTATTTTGATTGGCTACTTTTATCTTGTGCATAGCTTCTTGATTTAAATGAGACTCTTTAGTTATTTTGATTGACTACTTTTATCTTGTGCGTAGCTACTGTAATGAGTTCCAACGTTGCATCTTTTACCTTGTGTTTATTTTTATTATGGTATTTTGGATTTTAACTTTCTTTTTTACAAATAAAGAAAATCAATATGAATAAAATCCTGCGGCTTATAGTCTTCAAATTTCAATCCACTTATTTACTTCTTTTTGCATCAATTACAAAGTAAAACTTTACGACTGCAAGATGGGGACGGTAGAAGTTAAATTAATTATTAGTTTTAATCTTAATAAATTAGGTAATTGGGTTTTACTGCATAATATGAAAAGATTTACATGAAATCAAGTACGAAAAAACAACTTGCGAATTTTTATTGGTTAAAAATTAAACAAGAAAAAAGGAAAAAAGTTTGAAAGAAATCATGAGAAGCAGTTGATTTTTGATTTTCATAATTTTGGTGCAAAACTTTTTCGTACTGTTAAGCATTGTGCCGACAAAAGACGTCTGGGGTGCTTTGTGTGGGCAAAATATTTTGTTTGACGATTTCTAATTTAACTTGTAGAGCTAAACATGAGCATGAAGCGCCATTTGTGAAAATAACTGCTTAATACCATTAATTTCGAAATGAACGCAACAAGTTTGAGCAGATATTAAGCTCGGCTAATTAGCTATTCTAACAGATATATATAAGCATTAATCATATGCCACATACTTGGCAGAAACATGTCACCCTAGTGTTAGATATGCAGCATCCATGGTGGGATCAGACAAGTGTTACTTGGGACTGTTTGAACGTCACCCGTTTCTTCCACCGAAGAAGCTCTTCCTTGTAATGTCCCACTGCATCATTTTTACACTTTTATCATCTCATCAAACAATAATGAACTTAATGAATATCAACCTAGTTAATAATCTATTCTCTACATTATTTTTCCATGTTCATTAAATTCTGTCATTGTTCAACCGTTTTATTGATTTATTTATTAGTAAAAGCCGCAGGTGAATTCTAGCGGAGACAATTTTGCTCCAAGTCTAGGCATTAGAAACTAAGAATATGTAATATTTGCTCAAAGGTATAGTGCAAACAATTGGCATTTGGTATCTGTATGGCTACTAAAAGAGATGCTACATTAGATGACCTAATTTTAAAGAGGAAATAACAACTAAAAAGGAAAACAATGTTAGATTTATTAATTTTCTTCATATACTCAATTACATCGTAATATTATCTCATATAACTAATAGTTACAAATTCAATCGGATGATAACCCTATAAGTGTGCTCATCTTAGAAAATTAAAATAAAAATCACATAACATTAAATAATATTTTTAAGACTAACCTATAAAATTTTTAAATCAGTTAATTTTATCTCTTTTGGTCCTCTCTTGATCATCCAATCAGTATCCGTAAAGCTGGAATGTACAGCCTTAGGTTTGACAATGAAAGATGTTTCTTCACCTTCACTATATATAATATTTGCTTAGAAAAGAGAAGCAAGATAAAATACCTTAAAGATAGAGAAGGAACCAGTCTTTGTGGTGGTAGTTGCTGTGGAGAAGACAAGTTAAGGGTGGATGGATTTTGGCCTAGAGTTTCAGGGCAGCTGTGTGGACGTTCAGTCACTGTCTTGGCTTTCTCCTTCATCTACTCATTAATGCAACAAAAATAAAAATAAAAACTTTTTCTTTATCCTTTTTTTGGTCTAGAAGATTTAGATTGATATGTTAGTAATAGAGGAATATGTGGCTTCTACCTTTGATAGCTTGCTGTTTTGCTCTTGAATTTCCTTTGTCTGTCATGTCATATGCACAACAAAAATTTATCTTTACAAACCCCAAATTTCACTTCCGAAACAGAAATTTAATTTAATGAACTCTACTATCCCAAAAAGTCAAAGAAGAAACTAAGTAAAAACATTTAAGATTACTTCTCGTAATGTCATTTAAGAAGAAATTTAATAATTTAATAAACTCTAATGACAACGACATCTAAGATTACTTCCGGTAGTGTCATAATATTTGCTTTCTTCTTGGGGACAATTCAAATTGTAGTAAACTATTTATCTATATAGTGTTTTCCTTTAACATGTCCTTGTAACTTCACATTAAATTCAGTTACAGACTTTTACATCATAGACATTCTGTTATTAGATAATATGTGTGATACATTCAATGTCCGTACGAGCATCTCATTTTACAAGCCATGCAACCTACCCAATATTCAGTATCACCCTCCACCCACAACAGGCTACCCCAACAAAATTTTAAGCTTAATTAAGTTAGGAGATTTTTTTTTAAATTGATGATAATATTTTTTATTGTAAAAATAACAATATTTTATGGACTAAATCTGATAAAAATTGATACATTAAGAAACAATATATTTAATAAAAACTAATGACACACAAACACATGATCTTACCCTTTTATGCAGTTCTGAGATGGATTGATTCATAACTTGGTTCTGCAAAAATCAAATTGATGAGTCGGTTGAAAATTGAGAAAGGAAAAAAAATTAAAAAACAAGCTGTATGTGCTAACGTTAATTTTCGCTGATTTTAAGATTACATTAGTCTCTTTTGTTGTAAATTAATGAAGCACTCTTCACCTTTCTTGTTCGGATGCGCTTTAGAGATGTGTCAAGCTGCTGCTCCAAATTCTGAAGCTCTTTCATACTCAAGGAATCCAGATCATCTCCCAAGAAATTCCTATATATATTGAAGATCATATAAACAATATATTTAATTTTTTTTCCATGATACTTAAAAGCATCTAATCACGTAGCTAGCCATGTCAAGTGTCTGATCCCTCAGTGGATGAAATATATTTACCAAATAGATTGGGTATTGAGGGATAACAGTGACACTTTTTTTTATAAAAAAAAACTCTATATTATTAACTTAAATTTATTAAAAATTATTAAATTTTGTATTTTTTTATCTAATAAATTTTACTAGTGATGTTGTAATTTCTAATATATTTTAAATTAATCAAAATATATTAGCAGATAGGTGAGAATCAAAATACATTAAAAATAACTTTCGATAAAGTTATTTCATTTGCTTATATGGATATATTAACACCTTATTTGTATCGGTGTCAACTACTTTCAAATGGTGTTCTTAAAAGGGAAGAAAGCATAAGGTGGCTAGAAACATTGTGAATGTATGGGATCGCTCAAAGTTTCATGGCATGAATATATATGAAACATCCTCCAAAACTGAAAGTAGTCGTGCATCATCTTAACGTGAAATCTAAATAAGTACCTTACGTTTCTGTCCAAGACTTCAACTTTATGGGTGAGCTTGATATATTCGAAAGACCAATTCTCCTACAGTCAAATAATCTTCAGTTACTGAAGTGATTTACAATACAGAAAGTAAGTTCAAATTCATGTTCACTTTCATTCATATGTAAAACAAGGGCACTCGGCTATCAGACAAAAAGGGGATACACCAATACCTTTTTCTTTCTTGGATACCACTACCCTGATTAATTATTGTACGTCACGTTTTTATTTATGAAATTATGTTCATCATTAAAATGATTTTAATTGTAATTGTCCACAGCAAACTAAAATCAAGGCTACCATATATAGATCACAAAAATGATTTTAAACACTTAATATGATATTTAACACTACTTGGTGAGAAAAAAAAAAAGAAAAAAAAATATAGATATGACGAATGATATATTATGCAGGAAAAAAGAGAGATAAAAAGTAATGACTTAATGAAGTTTATATATATATATATATATATATATATATATTAAGTATCATTACTTATAGATCATCTTGTCTAATTGTATCACAGCATATTTTAATATATATATTTTTAGATTACGTGTATTTTTTATAAAAGACAATTTAACATAATATTATATACAAGATTTGATCATAAAATAAAAAATTATTAATTAAACTGAAACAATTTTACGCTGGTGATCGACATATGTGATGGTTAATATGCATGGACTACAAATTTGCATGCGAAAAATCTTTCATTTTTTGCACCCATTTGACATGCCCACATGTATTAAGGATGAAAACACGTACTGAAGGACAAATAGCTAGCTAGCTACCGACTTATGTGTCAGGAAGCTGGTTGTGACATGTTAATAGAAATTATATATATATATATATATATATATATATATATATATATGAGAAGAGATCCTTTTATTCCAGGAATAAGTCTATCTAAACTTATTCCGTTCAATAACTCATGTTTTACATTAAATTTGAACGATCCAACCATTGAATTTAAAGTTCTTAATTCATAGATTAAATCTGCAAATTTTTATAAAATTTGAAAATCATTTGATAGTTCATTTCATTAATTCCAAATAATGTAAAAATAATTTTAGGATTATCCATCAATTTGAATTAATGAAATAAAATATCAAATGATTTTCAAATTTTTTAAAAATTTGCAGATTTGATTTATGTACATTAAGAACTTTAACTTCAACGGTTAAATTGTTGAATGTAGGACATAAGTTATTGAATGGAGTAAAAAGATCCCTTCTATATTTATATCTATATATAAAAGAAGATGAAGTACCTGTAATTCATTGTTAGCTCCAACAAGTTCAGTATGTGTAGATCTCTCGTAACGTTCCAGGACGTCTTCCATGCTGTTACACAAGTCAAAATGAAAAACTATAAAACAAATACAAAAACGTTAAGAATCGCGATTTTTTTTTTCCCTATGAACTCTAAAATGTCGTTGACATTGGAGAGCAAAACTACATTCGTTCAGCAAATATTATACATTAAACGGGCATGTATTTAAATTTAGAAAAATAGCTAACCAATATATGCTTAAATGAACAATGAAGATCATAGATATAACCGTTTATATTAAAATACACTACAATAAATATTACATATAGTGACATACAAAAAGTGTCACTATAAGTATAATATATGTAGGTATATATCTATTTGACATATAGTTACACACAATTTTAATGTTGATTTTGAATGAGATTTAACAACATATATTGTGTGTCACTATAGCTTATATTCACACCTTTTAACAATATACCAACATATATTATATTTATTATGTAGGTAAAAGTAGTTTTTAGTGACACAATAGAATGTATGTCACTATATGACAATTTTCTTGTACTGACACTTACTACTTTAGATCCGGCCGGTAAAGGAAGGGGCTGAGGACCAACTAAGTTAATCCTCCTTAATACTTTAGAACTTTAGATCGGTAGTGGTTAGTGAATATTGGATTTTAAAAAATTAACACAAAAATTTAATAAAGTGGTTTGGGTACATATTGGAACACTAGTGAAGAAAGTAGGATGTACAGTTTTATAATTTTATGTGAGAGTAAGGAAAGAAAGGACATTGAAAAAGTTATCATAATGACCTCAATTATAATGAATGATTAAGACTATTGTTATTTCAACAGGTAACTCTTCTATAATACATACAAGATCACAATTAACAACTACAAGATGTAATCAACTTCCCAAGCTATCGGGTGTTAATGAAAAACTTGGATTAACATGTTATTTCACTCAGAATAAGAAAAACAGCTATTTTAAGATATTGGTTTTTATTACGGATTGATTTTATTAAAGTTCTATAATTACTTCATTCATTTATATAAATGCATTATTAAATATTCCAAGAGTATTTATATATTAGAGGACAAAATTTGTATTTAAAATTGAAAAAAAAAATTATCGAACTATATGAATTTTTATTACTAATACAAAAGCATCAATTAATATGGAACAAAGGGAGTATTTTTCTTCACCATCTATCTCCAAATTCATCTTTAGAAGATTTTGAGGGTTTACATACTATTCGCTTAACTAAGTTTGGACCGCAAGGTTTGTTGGATTAGTATAAAATGGATGTAAACTAGACTAAATCAATTGATGTAAAATTGTTTTAGTTTAATTAATGTTCTTGGCCGAATTTGATTCCTAGACATACAGTTATACTAAATCTTCAGAGAAAGAATTGCTATATCTATAAAATTGAAATGAGACATATAATGTTCTTGGTCGAATTTGAATAGAATTGTTCTCAATAAAAAAAAATACTTCCAATTTAAATAGAAAAAACTACCTAAACTACAACCTACAATAGCTTATTGCATTGAAATGAGAGATAGCGTTACAAATAACAGAGTTGGAGAACTTCTGGTTATACAAAAAATTTTGAAATAAAAAAAAATAGAAAACAATAAGTTAGCCATAAATATATAAATAAATAAATTGTGTAAAAAATAATATAAGAAATTAATTTTTTAGTGACATTATATCATTGGATGAGATTCCAGCCTTCATTAAATTTATCAATGTAGTATTTCTATTATACAATGAAAGTTAAAAAAATTAATGGTCAAATCTTTACACGTGACAATCTTAAGTTTTTTTTTTTTCACTTGAAAAGATCCCTTCCCAATAATTAATGTAATAGAGATATAATAATAATATTGTTATTATTATTATTATAATAGAATATGCTATGAAATATTCTCATTATTATATATATAACTCTTAATCTTCTGCATATTTAAAACTATAGGTTGTTAAAGATTCTCAGTATTTGCTAAAACTGAGTTAGAAGGCACCTGGAGAACTCATGGTGGTCAGAGTGCACGGACAACCATGCATGCCAAATAATTGTATGTTCAACGAACTACTCCTCTAGGCTGTAGTTCAGAATCTTCAGATCAGCCTATAGCTACGAACCTGTGATGTGAAGATTCTAAGCACAAAGTTTATTGCAGATATTCTTCTTTTTCTTTTAAATTAATCCACCGAGCGGGTTTATAAATTGAGAAAGGTATATTATTCCTATCAAAACTAATGCTAAAATCTTTGACAATTTTTAGAATAAGAGAAGTTTTTAGTTTATCATAAGAATACAAAATAAAGAATATTTATTTCTTACATTTATTTTTAGTGGAAATAGCCTAATAAGACACAGTCTAATAAATCTAATAAGAATTCTTAGGAAAAATTTTAATACCGTTTGAAAAAAAAAATGAATTTGAGTCTACGTTAATCATACTTATATATTTTATCTTAGTCACAACACTAACTCTTACTTTCTTTAAGTCGATGATTAGATATCTTAAATATAAAATTTATAAGACAAAACACATTTATTGATGAATCAATAATGATCCAATAAAAGATAGTTTAATATGTCTAATAACAATTACTAGAATAAGATTTGATATCATTTTAAAAAAATGAATTTAAGTTCAAGTCAATTTTACAAAAATGACTTATAAAATGAGATTTATTCATCACTTATATTCTCTATTTTGATCATACTGGTTAATAAGATTTCTAAGATTTCTGACAATCAACTTCACTTATCAACATGTTGGCACATTTGCCAAATCACCAAATGATATCATATTGTACTCCCTCCAAATTATAAATTTTTATGTTTAAAGTTTTTACAATCTTTTGAAAATATTTAATACTAACATGTTAAGTATCTAAAATACTTTCATTTAATATATTTTACAAGAGTAATTATGAAGTAGGAAATATAATTGTTAAACATAGGGACATATGTTGAAAAAGTTAACTAATATTACTCAAAATAAAATTTATAAAACAAAAATTTTGAGAACAAAAGATAAAGGCTAAAACATAAAAATTTTATGGACACGAAGAAATAAGTAACCTATGTTTAAATGTCATCGTATGCAATTTGTATGCTCAATGTTGAGGAAATGTTTAATGAAACATGTAACCTATGTTTGAATTAATTTCAGCACATCTATATATAATCAGAATTCGATTAGCATTTATTCTATAATATATACCTCACTTATATAAATATAGATAGAACAATATATGTGTGGTTCATATTAGAAATAAATGAATAATAAACAAAATTATGATTTAAATAAATATAACAAATAAAATTACAATTATCTAATAATTATTCGTAAACTATATTAGGCTCAAACTTACAAAACTTGAGCTTTAACTTATTTAAATCTATCTACAAAATTGAGTGAGTCTGTTTATTTCAACAAATTTAAGAATTTTAACGAGTGAAATTCAAATGAATCTCGAATAAAACAATTTAGATGTACACAGCAGAAAAAAGAAATTCATACAGCTCTATTTTTTTATTTTTTTTTTGAAACAGCAAAATAAATTGAGGTGGCACTAGGGGTGCCACAACCCAAAATTACAGGAAAGTTACAGGTTATTAGTAATATAGTTCATTTGAACTAAATTACTCCATAACCGGATACAGTAACTATATATAAAGATATATATTCATCTTATGCTGCAATTATGTATCCAATGCATCAATAAACAGTTATTCGGTTCTAATAATTAATCTTGTGAAAAGAATCAAGTGGTCGCGCGGGAAAATAAAACTTTTAGTATATATTTATAGCAACTAGTAATGATTAGACATGGAAGAGATAACGCAAGCAACCTTTATTTAGAATGTCTTCCACTCAAGAATTCCAACAAAAATTAAAATAAGAACATTAAATACAATATATTATGCAAATTGTACTATTTTCGAATAATCTAATATCCGCATTTATCATAATGCAATATATTATATAAAACAGCAAAAGCTTGCACAATCCATTTCATTTCGGTGTTTTGTTTTCGGGATTTGAGAAGTAGCCTAAAACAATCTGTTGTTTTCTGTTTGTTATGGTATTTAAAGGATGCATGAAAGGATAAGTGGGAGTTTTATACATTTCATGGACCTAGAGAATATATATATATATATATATATATATATATATATATATATATATATCAACTCACTCAAACTTTAAATTCCCTACAAAATGATTATATATTGAACTCTCGGGTAGGATCCATTGTATCTCTCTTGCCGTTATCCTTCAAAGATAATTAAAACAATATAACTATCAATGACACGTAAATAACCCTAAGTCATCGTAGATACTATACAACTAAAAATATGCTACCATGTTTAGCTCCTAACAAATCTCCACTGTTGTTTTGAAAACATATGTTCCTTAGTAGCTAAGATTTAACGCGCTAGATAATAATATTATGAACGCATGATAGTTTATTATATAAACAAAATATATTCAATTAATTTCGCAATATGTATATATAAACTGTTGATATGAAACATGGTAAGGATAATTTCTTATTATGTATGTCTTGAGCAATCAAAATAACGATCTTAATCTTTGAAAGAGAATTGAAGTATTCAAATATCATAATAATCATCTATATATATGAGTTTTTTACTTGCAAAGATAATTTAGAGGCAAGAGAGTTTTTTCATTCTAAGATCAAGACATGCCATCAATCTGAACAACAACCATGTTGGAGATATTGTTGGATACTAAAATATGAAACCCTCTTTTAACATATATATTTTTTATTTTTGTTATTATTGAAACTTACAAATGAGCTGCAATGTAAAAGTAGAATTAATACTTTGTATTAAATGATTTGGTTCAATTATATTTGCATTTAAAAAATAATAATTGTACTTACTGCCAAAACAGAAAAACTCCAACTCATTCCCCACCCTCCCCTAAAAAAAAAAATTAAAAAAAAAAAAAAAAAAAAAA